GGCAAAATGCATAATTAGTAAACACATTTAATAGTTCACCAATTTATAAACTGTTGTCCATGTCTTTTCCTGAAGTTATTATGGCAGTGGAGATTATGGTGAACATATATTTAAGGTTCAGACAGCGCTCACAGGAAAGCAACCAGAAAGCAAAAAAGATATATCATGCATTTGTTTGCTTTATAGTTATAATCTGTGACATCTGAGGATCATTATGTTATATTTTGGACATTTTAAATCGCAATGTTAATCAAAACTTAAATGCTAAATGGTGACATTTAGCATTTAACGTGACTGGTGGAGGGTCTATCCAGGGTCTGTCAAGTGCTTTTCTCCATTGCTTTGCCTGGAATGTTTCACAGAATGGCATTTCTACCTTAATAGAGACCAAACCAGACCAAGTCACCGTCAGAATGCCTGTTTTTCAAGGTATTTTTGAGCTATAAAACCACCTTTACCTGAATAAATGCAAGATAGATCTGTTTAATGTCATACTGTGGAACATTTGAAGCAGAGCAAGGGCATTTACATAGAAATAAGAAGGTGAAATTAATAAAAGAACACAACTTTGCGGACTTCCATGTTGGAAAATTACAGAGCCCAGGGAGTCTATTTCTACCCACTCATTTGAGGTACATCGCAGGAAACGTCATCACAAAGAAAAGTGCTGTATGCTGTCAGCCCCTCTGACGAATACCTGCAAATCACGGTAATGAGAACCAGATTTTATTTTTTTTAATTTGTGCTGAAAGTTCTACTCAATGCTGCGGAATCTCATAAGCATCACTATTTAAGAAAGTAAAATTGGAGAATGAAGAATGAAGCAGTGGGCGAGTATTGGTGGTGGTGGCAGTGAAAACGGGTAAATTGGAGAAATGATGCCTTCAATACAAGAGAATAAATATTACTCATACATGCATGAATCACAAATATAACTTTGAGTGGGTAAATGAGAAGAAAAAATAATTATAGTATGCTTAAAATATCTAAGAATCGCATAATAGGTCCCCTTAGTAACATCAGAGTGTATGGGGTAACTTGTAAATGCCAAAATCAATAATGAAACCAAAAGCACTAAAAAGCAGAACTAATATTACCCGGCTGACATTTTTGAATGCATGCATTTGCTTCAAAGACATTCAGAGTGAAAACAAAACATCAAAGTCCTTCCTCCAAAAGCCCATGTTGTTAATGCAATCCAGATGGTCTTATATGAGGCAGGGTATAAATATGATGGGGCAATATCATCATAGCAATTTGACAGTATGTACCTGGAATAGATACTCTGCTATGTGAGGATAAGCTCACTTTTATCTCTAAATTACAGGCCATTTTTCTGCTGCATTCAAACAGAACATATTTTCTGGCACTTTGTAACTTGTCTGACTTTTTTATCCTGTGTATTTCCTGCAACAGATTTAAAAAGTAGAAAGTATTCACACTAACATAACTTAAAACTTTCAGATCATAAAAATTACCTTGACCATTATACATTTTAAAGGTCACATATTACACAAAATGGATTCTTGTGAGTTTTTATCTGTGTTATAATACTGTTACTTCCTCCAAAAACATACCCAGAGTTGTGTTTTGTTTCATTCATACATGTTTGAGTAACCTTTTATTATTAGTCTGTTTACATCTCCAAAGCTCAAAATGCTCCATTCCACTTTGTGAGTGATATTTAACAGCTACTGTTTACTTTCTGTTAAGCAGAGATGGGCAATTCCTGGGCCAACATTAACCAAATGATTTCAATGAAGGTGAATGGAGTTCACAAACACAGTGGGGCACTTCCTATCACCACGTGACATCACAAGGTGGAACAGACTGTTTTTTTGTTTGAGAGAAGAACACAGCCTAAATATGCCGGATTTGTGTGTTAAACGTGTGTGAATGAAAACAAAAGTCTGAGTATGTTTTAGATGGGGAAACAACATTATAATATAGATCAGAAAATAATGTAATATGGGCCCTTTAATGTTATCATCTCATCAAAAAGAGGGGGCAGAAATCACAAGTGAATAAGGAGAATAAATATAGAGTGATTAGTTGCTTACAAAGTGATGCTTCAGCTGGTGCTTAAAAAGCTATTAGCACTGACAGTCTTCAAAAGATTAATTGATATTTTGGAGGTAATTTTACTTTTCACAAATCTGTGAAGATGTGTTAAAGTCATGGTTACCTGTGAAAAATCAATGCTCAAAACATTATTATTTAAACAGAAATGGGGGCTTTCTGTGATCGCCTTTATACTGCAATCCACTTGCCTTGAGTATAATATCTTTGCCAACTGGATGACTCATTAAAAGCAGCATTGGGAGATAAATGATGCCTTGTTTGCCTCATAAACAGAATACAATGTGAAAGTCTTAACACAGTAATGCCCTATACATTCTGATTCTGCATCTGCTGTGGAGTTTCCTCTGGGAGGCCCTTTATTTGATTAGAGCTCTTTTCAGATTTATGGCACTAATTGTTTTATTAATATAATGTCAAGTATAACACGAGCCCTGGAGGAGAGCGATTAGCTCATGTTATGTTGTTATCATTGTTGAGTCTATATTTAGAACACCTGAGTGAAATGAAGCACATGCACATGAGACAGTGTGAGCGCCTCTGTCCAAGGTGCTGATTAAAGATAGTGGGATCTGTCTGAGCTGCAATCACACGACTGAGGTGGAAATGGCTTTAGCACATTTCTTTTTACTGTCATTTTGGCAGTTCTTCTTTAATATGAAAACAGATTCTCCAGACTCTTAGTTATGTTTAAATCTTAAAATAAATATAGCTCGTTACATTCCAAAATTTAAAATATTCAAGGTGCACTATGTGACTTTTCTACTTGAAGGTCTGCCACCTGATTGCCGTCATGGAGATGTCTAGAATATTAATCATAAGCTTTACTGTCAGATCTGTAGAAAGTAGACTGTAACCACAGTGAAAAGTAAGTATTTTTCAGAAATATAAACACATAAATATAAATACTATAGTATCTAAATGTTTACAGCCATACTATGAAACATTCTAGACAATGTACTAACATCTCCATGAGACAAGCAATTAGTGAACACTCCACTATAAAAGTTACATAGTGTACCTTTAACCAAACAGTTGTAAATGCCACTTAAAATTGTCCCTTGACCCACAAAATAATAGATTCTAAAACTACAAAAATGCTAGCAATGTGGCCTTTTTGGATTTATTTGTCCAACTTAGAATGTGGACACCTTGGAGTTGGTATTTCACATATCCCCAGCCTCATAGAAAACTGCACAAGTAATATTTTTGACCCAAATGAATCTTCAGTTTCATTCTACTCTTCAGACCCTGCTGCATCTGTCCGTGTGATTGGCTCCGTCCTCGACCAAGATTTTTACAGCCAAAAAAACCCCAAACCATCCAGTCATTGTATTTCAGAGGCAGTTTATTTTTGCATTTTCCCAAAAACCTTGAAAAATGGCAAAGGAAATTATGCCATATGTGATATATAATAATATTGCAACATAAACAAAAGACAATGGACACAGGGTTTTTTGACTTGCACTAAAGAGTTGGCCTAAAGCAGTTCATAATAGACTAAAAAATATAGTTCCTTCGAAGTATAGTTTGATTTTAGTGTAGGACAATCGAGCATTGAAATGATCAGAATGACTCTGTTGATATTTTCATCAAAGTTATGCCCAGTTCCTTCTTTGATACTCAAGTGGCAAATACTATGGTCTCACAGCATAGTATCTCTCTCTCTCTCTCTCTCTCTCTCTCTCTCTCTCTCTCTCTCTCTCTCTCTCTATATATATATATATATATATATATATATATATAATATATATATATATATATATATACGCCTATAGTAACACTCCATATCCCACATTGTCCCCTAATAAAAGGATTTCTTCCGCTGCCTGTTTCGCCCCTAAACCTCCACCTGTGGATTTTGTTGTTGAAATCCTCCACTGTCACACCATGAAATGCAGTGCCCTATAAAATGTGGTTCTTCATACCAATAGGAATGTCTTCTGTCGGCAGTGGCATCCGTGTTAATCCAGTGTTGATCTACCGAAGGATCCCGGTCTTCCAAAATCAATAAAGCCATGAAAGCCTTGCCTCCTGGCCCTCCTCATCACATCCATTGTATCGTCTCAGTTAATCATGTTTGATTCCCCTCAGCTCAGGCTTGTGCTTTGATATTGAATGAACTGGAAAATATAGAACCCATCATTTACATTTATGACGTCAATACATAGGCCTATATAAGCAAGATTTTGTTGATAAAATGGTGAATAGATTATTGTAATTAGCCTATTATATTGATCATGCTGTATTAAGCTTTGATATGGGCGATTAAATGCATTTTTCCTGCAGATAATATTTAGAGCTAATAGAGTACTTTATAGGTCTGTGGCTTCCAATGACTAATCCACATGAGAGAGGAATCCTGGTGCGAAGCAGATGGGGTCAGTATAAAGAAATATGACATAAGGAAGTTCAACACATGGAACTCGGAGCAATTTTTCCATCTTTTTGAATCAAGATAAACTATGTTACGTTAGCTTGACAAAGAGATATGCCATTTTATTTATGCTATACAATTAGCCTACCATCATAACTTTACAGCCCATATATTCATACAGATTGCTCCTTTAGTTGAAGTGCAAATAAGAATTTGCACTAAAACGCGCGCAATTTGGAGTTGAACGACTTTTTCATTTGAACCTCCAAGGAGTCTGAACGTGGATAAAGAAACATGATGCTACCCAGGCGATTATTCTGACTTTATTCCGGCATTTTCCTCATGAATATAACAGATATATGTAAGTGTGCTCTGAACATTAAAAATACCAGTGGGCGTTGAATTTTCGGCTAGTGTCTACCGCGGTGCGCACAGCCCGTTCCAGTGTGTCCGCGCCATGTTTTCCGCCCTCCTTCGCCTCGCGGTGCATCAGATGTGAACACGGAGCGCTCCCTCTGCACACTGCATTTGACTGGAACACAGCAGCAGCGCAGGGCTTCGTCTACTCCGCCGCCAAGTTGAGTGAAAGGAGCTGCGCGGATTCATGTGGCACCTGCACGCGCTCTCTCGGCTTTTGTACCGTGCCTCTGGACTTCTTTTATTAATTAATCTTGGCTCCGGACACGAACCGTATTGACTTGAAGACATGTCTTGGTAAACCACCACTAGTGAAGTTTTAACCAATAACCGCTTTATCAAGTCCTTGCAGTTGATCTGTGGAGGGACTTGTAACCAGCAAGCGAGACACTACAGAGAAGCGCAATCAATACGGATCTCTGAACAAGTCAACAATGGTCCGACTAGAGACTATTTTTTGCACTTTTTTGCTGTCTGTTGCAGCGAGGGCAGATTTGAAAGCACGTAACTGCAGCGAGGTGCGGGAGGCATGTGCAAGCAGAGGCTTCAGCTTTGGATACGTCCCTCTTCAGGAGGTCCCAGGTAAGGAGAGAGGACATTGTCTGAGCGCTTAATCGCCCTGTCCACCTGCCAAACGCTCGCCCATAACGGGCATTTCGGGTAGACGCTTGGCAGCGCGTGCGTCATAAAGGATAATGGCTCTGGGTGGAAAAGTTATAAAGCAGATATGGCATTATGGGTAAAAAAAGGACGCCAAATCACTGAGCAGAAGCCTTTTTACAACAGCTCCATAAAGAGGTTTAGAAACCTCAGCTGCGTTATAATGATATAGGAAATAACACCATCAAATCAGCTACTCTGCCACCTGTCACTTTTTCAACATGTAAGTTTACAAGTTTAAATATGATATATATGGTATTTTCAAACTTTTATAATACCCACATAATTACCATATATGTATCTGGATAACTGTAACCATTCTTCCTGTCAGTCACACTCAACACTATGCAAAAATGACATTTGATCACTATTCATATATTCATAGTTTGAATTTTAATTTTATGATTCATCCAACCTATTGACAAACATATACACAGACTTTACTTTGTATTTACCCTAAGAAGTAGTTATAAATGTTATATTGTGTGTCTAATATAAGTACATTATCATTATCCGCCTTTGCAGTAGAGTTCTCCTTACAATGTGTAACCTTCCTGCACCTATGAGACACAAACAACATAATTTACACAATGGACCTCCCTAGCACAATAAATTAGCTTTAGTTCAATAAAGAGGTAGCCCCAGTGTAATTAGCCAGCTCTGATAGCAGAGTATTGTCAGGAGGCCTAACATACAGCCCATTATGTGAGCTGTGAGCGTCGATAGCATGTGTGAATGGAAGTCTCTTAGCCACAGCTGCAGCTAAATGCTCCTTGTCCAGCAGAGGTCCCTCACTGTGCTAACCAAGCAGAGATAATGAACGGTCAGCTCTGCAGATTAACTTCTGCCCAGACAAAATGGAAAATGAGGTGATAAGGTGTGTTCGAGTGGAGTGTGGCATCTTTGCAGCAGTTTGGAGTTGGGAAATGTATGACCACAAATCTAACTAAATGTTTATATTTTTCAAGATTTAGGGGAATTTAAAAATGTCATATTGAGGCAAGTCTGGAATGCAGTATTGATATGAACTGTGATGTGGATTTAAAAGAGGCAGCTATAAAGATTTAAAAATTGAGTTGTGTGCACTTTAAGCCACATTATAATGCTGCTACGTCCTCAAAAACATAATATGGAGTTGTGTTTTATTTCATTCACACATGTTTGAGTAGCCCTTTATTATTAGCCTTTCTACATCTTCAAAACTCTAAATGCTCAGATGCACCTTGCAATGTCATGTAGTTATCATTTTCAAGTGAACAGGTATCTTTTGTTCAATAGAAATTCTCAATTTCAGCACTGAAATACAGTAATCCAGATGATTCTAGTGAAGGTGTATGGACTTTAAAACCACAGTGGAGCACTTCCTGTATTACCACGTGACATCACAAAGTGGGACAAGGTGAGTGTTTTCTATCTGAAAGAAGAACTCAGTCTAAATATGCAGGGTTTGTGTGTTAAACATGTGTGAGTAAAACAAAACACAACTCCAGGTATGTTTTTGAGGAGAAAACATAGCTCAGAAAATAGTGTAATATGGCCCTTTTAAACCACTTATTCACTAGTTTGGTGAATAACATCAGGCACTGTTATGGAAATTCGAAAATTTTTCCTTTCATTTAACTTTTTAACATGGCATAGATTAACTGAAAACTGCACTGAAAAAACATTACTACCAATGAACAATGAAAAGAATGCATAAAGGTCTCAGAACCTATTATGGTTGTAAAGTTTGGTATGCTGCTTTACTCTTATCACACATTTTTTTTCACAGACTGAAGACTGAATGACTTGATCATTCAGATACTAAAAACAACATTCTAGTGAATATTTGTTAAAAAGTCTGCCTCTCTTTACCAATATGAAACATTTTACTTTGTTATTTCACTTTTAGATTCAAGGCAAAGTATGCAAACTATGCAAAGTGCTCTCCCCGTCTCTCCCCTGGACCTCATTGTTATTCTTCAGAGCCACTGATTCCTCTATAAAAGGGTGAAGCTGGCACACGTAAAGGCTGCATATTTGATAACAGGCGCACCTGTTCAGAGGCGGCTTGAATAACCATCTGATTAAACCCTTTGGAGCTGCATCCCTGACATCATCACTAATCTCCCAAATGAGGGAAAAAATTCAATTCTCTCTCATCCCCCCATGATGCCATTCTGAATAACTGTCTATTTGATCAGAGACGTGAATGAGTCATAACCTTATAGGTCTGACAGAGACACAAGCCATTATCAACACCTCAGCAGATTCACACTGCGATGGTCTTGTCCTTCAGCTGAATACTAATAAAATGGTGCCTATAGTTAAAGGAGTATTCAAGCCACCTAAAATGAGTGAGTGAAATGTACGTCTGTCACTATAATTACTGCATCGACTTCTTATTCTAAACATGAAAGATTGAATTTTTGGGAGTCAATATTTAGCTTGAGTACTTTTTTTCTTTGGACTATTGGGGATTTTTGGTTATTTTTTCTGCAATATAATAACATTTTAGAGCTGTAGAAGGTTGAATTATGAACTAAAACTAAAGTAAATCTGCTATTTATGTACTGCGGCTCATATTTTAAACCAATATTACACAATACTTTTTGGGGGATAATTTTGTTTTATATTTTGGTTTCAATATTATCATTTATCTATATTTACTTCAGCAATGTATCGTACTTCAACATTAGTTATCGAGACAGACCTACTGAAATGAAAACATGCTTTGGGGAATGATATAGCACATTTTTACTTGAAAGTATTAATTTGAGAATTATTTTTCATAACCCTAGGGTTTTATTGAAAATCCCTTGGGCCAAAATGCTGAATGAAATTAAACTGATGAAAAATTATGATTGAATTTTGTGTCGTGTCTGGGAATTTGTGATTTTATTGATAGATTACCAAGCATATCCCTCTCATGAGGTCTGCATATTGCCACGAGCTGAGATTGGCCTAGTGGGAGCCGAACATGTGTGGCTGATGGAGATGACATTAGCAGGGAGCTAATATTCCAGCATTGAGATGATTTGGTTCTTGTGGGAGTGGTTCGCACAAGTGTCTGTGTAGAGCTTATTGTTCTGCCTTGCCTTACAGCTGCTCACTGATGATTTGGAAATGTCATTCTTCATCTTAGTAGTCCACCTCTGCTTAATGGCTATGGGTGTTAAATGGCTGCTATTTGTTGGATCTTGAATTCCTTCATAAATGGGAGGTTGGATCAGATGATGACAGATTGATGTTTGATTTTAATGTGAAGTTGTTAAACGCCCTCGAGACAAGCACTCAGCCGGGACAGTCGCTCGTTTTATTGGTGGTTTTCAAACTCTAAAATGTGGTGATGTCATGCTCCCAGATAAGGGGCAAGAGACAGATTTTCCTATTGATAATGTTGAACTTTCCATTGAAATATCTAAGAGGTAAATTCACTAATATTTAACATTTCTATTAATGACTAGACCCTGGAACTCACTATACTGAAATCCTCGACTGCATATATAAATGGACATACCTTACACACTAGTTTATATGCCGGCTCTTCCGACTCCTTCTGATCCTGGCTCCCATTGACTTACGTTAGAATATTGTGGCCCCTCTCTCTGCAACTGCTGCAGGGAGCCTTGTCATTTTGGTCTAAAAATGTTCGTATTAACCCGCTGTACGTGATCCTGGTGTTTTTTCCTCTACTTTGCCTATTAAATAATTCTTTTTCATAATATCACTCTTGGCTCCAGATTCGCCCCTGTAACCACTTGCATCACAAGCTTCATATGAGTGGAGCCGAACACTGTGGGTGACGTCACACTCGTTTTAGTCCACTTCTTTATACAATCTATGATTGGAACAGACACCTGCATTTTAGCAATATAAATTTTAGCTGCCCCCATATGTATTAAATATTATTGACTTATAGAACATTGTGACATCATCTGAAGAATACAAGCTCAAGTTTTCCCCTGGCTTGAAAGTCTCAGCTTGAGCAGCCCATTCTCTTGGTGGGAACGTCCCCCTCCCCTTCTCTTGGGCAGCACACGGGTAACTGCTGTGCCCGGGAGAGGGAGGATGTTTTCACCGACCTTTAGTAGGCCACGTCACGCACTTTCATGTATTAGAGATGTTAGAAAATGTGCATTCAATATCATAATAAAATGAAATGTGAATGATGATTGTCTGACCTTGTTTATGTCATTTCACCGATCTTCCTGAAGCAGCACACATTTTTCCAGTATGTAATAGCAGTGTAATCCTCATTTGCTTGCAGAAGTTTACTATGAAATCATATTTAAAATATTTTTTTCTTGTTCCCATGTCCTATAGCATCTGTAACTGTTGATTTGGGAAGAAATATTAAGTATTTCCTTACCTGTTTGCCACGAACATAATTTGTAAGCAGCACAGCACAAGAAACTTAGAAAGCTACAGTGTGTGTTTGAGACCACATCATTTTTGCATGTTTTGTTTGTATGTATGAACAAATGTGTTGAGATATATTGCACCTTGCATGTGTAATTAATACAATATATAATGAAAACTTTTTTTTTTCTTTTATGTGTACATAGATTAACTAACTTAGTTTCATAAAGGGTACAATTCAGGGGGACTTTCCACCTGATTTCCCTTCTGAATACCAGAAATTACCATGAATGTGCAAGCCCAAGTGCATCACTGTACCGACAGCGCAGATCTCAGTTTGTGTTTGTGTGTGTGGTCAAACAGAAAGCTTCAGGTCAGGTGGAATGACAGCAATAGAGAGGGTGATATTGGCAGAGATCCTGTAACAACTCAGGGTTTACAAACATCATTGGCACAGTAGCTCCAGAGACCAGGTCACACTGGAGTAAGCCTGTCATGATAATTACAAAATTGTTCAATATATGAAAGCTGGAGCGATATACAGTGTGTTGGGGCTCAGTATTTATAGCGGGTATATTTCT